CCTCTATTGAGGTGCCAGGAATCGGTTCTGGGCAATCTCACACAAGATCCAAGCAGAGGACCAGAAAATGTACATACCGCCCATTCTCCACTTGGCCACTTGCGGCCATTTGTAGTGGTCCTGGCCACTCCTACACCAGTCTTGCTCTTCCAGAACCCCCTTCTTCCTGAAGAGGCTGCCCCTCGCCTCCAGCTTAAAGCCTGACAACCATTATGAAGGTGGCATTTGTAGCTCAAAGACTACCTCAGGCCAGCAACAGATAGACTTTTCTGGCGCCCTCCTCACACCTCCCCAGTTCAGTTTAGTTCAGTAGCTCAGTCATGTCCGACTCTGTGACCACATGGACTGCAGTATGCCAAGCCTCCCTGTCCATCACCAACTCCCAACTCCCGGAGCTTACTCAAACTCATGTCCATTGAGTCGGTGATGTCATCCAACCATCTTATCCTCTGTCGTCCCCTTCTCCTCCTGCCTTCAATCATTCCTACCATCAGGATCTTTTCAAATGAGTCAGTTCTTCACACCTCCTAGGCTATCCTGGAAAAACTGGTCTCTACAGAATCAGTGCTTATTCTCCACTCGCCCTCTTGGAGCTACCTTTGGGGTCTTCTTGCAGGATCTCTTTTCACATTCTAGTCTGGCCACTAGCACTTTGATGCTTCCTCTTGTTTCACAGAGTCTTTTAGAAATTATTCTTTTTAGAAAATATTTAGAAATTATTATACTTTTAAAAAATTATTCAACTGAAACTCTTTAGGTTATAAATGATGAGGAGACTAAGAGGACAAGAGTGGCGATTCAGTTCAACACACAGTTACTGAGTATCCCTCTGAGCTATCCCAGCTTTATGGAGACTGAGAAGCATGAAAGGACCTGATTTCTGCCCATGAGTTCACCATCTAGTTGGGAATCCTAAATACACACATCAGAGTCAAATAATAGAACAAGGTAGTACCTGATTGAGCATCCAACTGAGTGGTACCAGGAGTTCATGCTGAAGGAGGTATGTTCAGGAAAGAGTCACCCCAGGTAGAGTTGCATGGGAAGGTTCCAGCACAAGCTCAGGAGACCAAGCTGAGCTCTGAAGGATGGATGATAGCTGAGGGAGAACCTCTAGGGAAGAGGGAAAAAAAGCAGAAATAAAGTTGAAGAAAACAAAACATGTACAGGAGATGAAAAGAAGCCCAATCTATTAGTCTTATGGTAACTGTCAGCCCATAAGGTAACTATCAGAAAGCAGTGTGGGGACTTCCCACACTGGGACAGGAATCTGACTGCCAATACAGGGGACAAGGGTTTCAGACCTGGTCCAGGAAGATCCCGCATGCCACAGAGAAGCTAAGTCCGGGTCCACAAGTGCTGCAACTACTGAAGCCCGTGGGCCTAGGGCCTATGCTCTGCAACGAAAGAAGCCAATGCAGTGAGAAGCCCATGCACAGCAATGAAGACTCAGTACAACAAAAAATAAAATAAGGAAATAAGAGGAAATAAGTAGCCCTCTGAGCTAGCCACACGCCCATCTCTGTGGAGACTGAGAGGCAGGAAAGGACCTGATTTCTGTTCCACAGGTTCACCATCTAGTTGGGAAGAATGAATACACATGTGAGAGTCACATAATAGAACAAGATAGTACCTGATTGAGCATCCAAATGAGTGGTACCAGGAAATGCAGGAAATAATAGATTCGAAAAGCACATTTATAAAATTTAAAAAAGCAGCGTGGTGAGGAGGGAACAACACAACAGTGGAGCCAGCCCTCCCTCCTTTTCTGTCCTAGGCCTGCCACTTAACCCATCTGTGAACCTAGCCTCTCCAAGCCTCCGTTTCCTTTTCTATAAAATGGAAAAAAATAACATGGAACACATAATACTGTTTTGCAAATTGAATTGTACATAAAGCACAAGGCCTTGGCACACAGTGAGCACTTTCTTAAAAAAAATTTTTGGCCATACACTGCAGCATGCAGAATCTTAGTTCCCTAACCAGGGGTCAAACCACCTGCAGTGGAAGTGCAGAGTCTTAACCACTGGACCACCAGGGAAGTCCCCAAGTACTTTTAAATGACAGCTCTAATCAGCAGAGCACCTAGCACTGTGCCAAGCACATGCTATATGTTGGCTGAGCGGTGGTTAGCATACACTTTCCTCCTGTTGCTGCAGCGCAGCCCTGGGCTGACCCGCCTCTAAAGCAATGTAGTGTGTATCATCCAGGCTGCCTTTAGGAAAGCAGTAAACAATACACTCAAGGCAACTAGCTCTAGAATGTCAAGGGCTCCGTTTAATACCCCCATACCACTCTAGGCATTTTAACATTTCGTCATGCCACATTGAATATATAAAATGTATGTTCCTCATTCAATATCATTCTTGCACAAATGTATCTGAGGTGATTTTTAAAGTTTTGCTTCTGAAATTCTTTGACTCCAAGTAACTTGGGATTGGCACTTCTCCTTCTCCAATCGTGGTATTGAGAATTCCAGTAAAAGGACGGAAAAAAAAAAAAAATCTAACCTAAGACTGTTTTCCAAAGTAATAGGCTTCTTATGGGTGCCAAACTCCAAAATAAGTGAAATCAACTTTATGTTACTGTGGTAGCAGGTAAGTAAATATTTTAACTTTGATTTTATAGTTAACTTTTCCTATATTGGAGCCAATATATTTTTTTCCTAGTCTCAAATATTGTAGGCCCTTGAAAACCTCCCAGACCCTGGGCACTGGGCTTTTAGTGCTTAATGGATAAAACAGCCCTGAGACTGTGACCACTGGGAAGATTTGTGATGAATAACTAGGATCAAATACACAATTAAAGGAACCCCTTCCTCAGACCTCCCTGAGTGGGACTGGCCAGTTGCACGGTCAGTACCTACTTGAGGAAAGCATGTTTGCAACTTAATTGGATTCAGAGCTTGCGAAGTCCATGGTCAGTCACTGGGTTGGCATGAAATGTTCCTGCCAACCCTTGGCTCCTGCTGCCACCCCTACCCTCTCACACAAAAAGCCCAGAGGCTTGGGTCTGCAACAGGTAATGAACAATCACAATGCAATTCAACCATCCCAATGGGAAAGGCTCAGCTGACAACCTGCAAAAGGGAAATATATATATTGGGTTGGCCAGAAAATTAGTTTGAGATTTTCTGTAACATCTTATGGAAAAAATGAATGAAATGAACTTTTTGAACAACTCAATATATTTGCTCTCTGAGGCCCAGATCAACTATTTGCTGGATAATGCTCTACTGGGATCAAAGAGCCGTGTTTCGTTAGCTTTGTGGGGAGAAGTGCAGGAAAAGGGTGAGCTCGGTTGATGAACCAGGCTCCACCTTGGAGATAGAAAGGAAAACATCTCCAACGTTTCCCATCTGGCAATGCATATCATAGGAGTCTAAGTGTTTTTTGCCACTTTGCAGAGCATTTTATCTCAAAGGCAGTGAAGTCACACAGAAGTCAAGGTAGGGCTCAACACGCCAGCACAGGCCTGAGAGGCTATAGCTAAAGCCAGATCCCCCACTTCAGTCATTTGGTCCTTCCCTTGATAATTGTTGTAATACTGCCAGTATTATCATTTAGTAAATTTATATTTATATGCATTTGGTTCAAAGAGTTCTTTGAAAATGAAACTGTGTAACATCATATTTCAAAGAATACTAGAGTGTCACTGGATAAATAGAAGTAAAAATAAAGAATGTCATCAAATTGTTTAAAATTCTGGTGATCTTCCCTGGTGGTCCAATGGTTGAGAATCTGCCTTCCAATGCAGAGAATGTGGGTTCAGTCCCTGGTCAGGGAATTAAGATCCCACATGTTGTGAGGCAGCTAAGCCCACTGCTCCACAAAAGAAGGGGCATGCTGCAACAAACCCAGTGCAGCCAAAAAAAAAAAAAAGATTTTAAAGTTCTATCCAGATACTGTTTTCAACTGAAGGCTCAGCCTGAGATCTGTTGTCTGTACTGAAAAGTGAGTGGAAACAAAGGCTTTACCTTCTTGTCCTAATAGGAGACTTTCTCCTAAATGTCATCAGGAGGATTAGAAAAGAATTATCAAAGGCAATGGTCATGTTTCACTTAAACCACAAACAGACACACTCACTAGGCCCTGTCTCTGTGGGAAACATGTTCTCCTTCCCTTTTCAGCCTGGCACTAGACCAAAGGGATGGGTTGAAAGTCAGGAAGCTCCAGTCCCAGCTCTGACACAGCTGGTGGCCTTGGGAAGGGCACTTGCTCTTTCAGGCCCTCTAGCTCTTTCCTCTGTAAAGCAGAGTTGATTGAGATGATCTTGAAGAAACTCTTCTGCTCTGATTCTGTCATTCCAAAACTTTCTCCACCTAAGGTGATATGTCAGTCCCAGAAAGAACCCAATTCACAGAATCCTGCTTGGCTGGCTGGAACACTGAGAGTGACTGTTTTTCTAGCCTCAGTGAGAAACTGGACCACAGAGCAAAGAGGAATTAGCCTGACACCACAACCTTAATATTGATTTTCAGGAATGTCTGAGCTAGCCTGGAAGAGCACCGTATGGACCCTTGGCCTACTTTCTTCCAAGACTGGTTTCCTTTTGTGGTCTGACTTCTCAGAGTTTCAAACCAGAAACATGGGAATGTGGAAAGAATAGGGGCTTTGGAAGCTGAGAAGCATCGATTCAAAGCCTGTGACACTCCCTAGCTGTGTGATGATGGGCAATTTCGTTAACTTTTCTGAGCTTCAGTTTGCTTGCCTATTAAAGAAAAAAAAGAAAGAAAGAAAGAGTTCATACCTCATAAAACTCTTATGAAGGAAAAACTGTATATGTATTTATTGGGGGGCATAAAATGTATCAATAAAATAAAATGTATCTGCTGGAACCAAACAATTAAATGCCAATAGTGTTTTTAAATATCTGAGGCTGTAGGAGCCCTGCAATAATTGACTTACAGTATGAAATTTTTACAAGGGCTAGCAGGGCACCCCCATGGTGACCTAGTCACCCACCCCCCACTTCTGTGCCCCCTGTGCCCCCTGGGAGCAATGGCACCAGCCAGAGCAGGATTCTGCCCTCTGCTGCTGCTCCTGCTGCTGGGGCTGTGGGTGGCCGAGGACCCAGTCAGTGCCAGGCCCGGGAACATGACCCCAGCTCAGTGGTTTGAAACTCAGCATGTGCAGCCCAGACCTCAAGGATGCAACACTGCGATACCCAAAATCAACAAGTTCTCCAAACACTGCAAAGACCTCAACACCTTCCTGCATGAATCCATCTACTGCGTGGTTGCCACTTGTCAGACCCCCAACATAGCCTGCAAGAATGGTCATAAAAACTGCCACCAGAGCCAAAAGCCTATATCCCTGACTACATGTGAGCTCGTCTCAGGAAGATGTCCAGACTGCAGGTACAATGAGAAGCAACTGGAGGCATTCTTCATCGTAACTGTGACCTTCCACAGCAGAAGGATGACCTGAGGTACCAGCTGGTCCTATGCTTTTGGATAACGTTGTCTAAGGCCAAGTGTTCCCCTCACCCCAAGCTCTGCAGACTCCGACACTATGGCTGCCTTCTCTCCCTTGAGTTCTTCACTAATCCTCACCCTTTTTGCAAATACCACTTCTCTCCCACGTAGCCAACTTCACATACTCTTAATTCCTTACAGGGTTTTGTGGATGCTCCAAATGATGAGGGAAGAGAGGTGATTCTCCTTAACCCTTCACTACTGCTTACATTGTTTTCTGAGTGCGGATGCCCTGCGGCTCTTCAGGCACTAAGGCTCTTGGCATGGGTGGATCCAGGTTTTGTGGGGCTTATGGCACATGTGATTTTAGAGACCATCTTAAAGGAGAAGAACACAAAATTACAAATGCAAGGTAAAGTCAGGACCTTGGTAGAGCTGTGGCTGGACCATTCAGAGGGAACCCCAGGGGAGATCATTCAAGGAGGGAGGCCAGGAGAGTCTGTGCCGTGTTCACTGTACTGGGCAAAGGAATGTGTCTGACTTTGCTACAATGAAAAACCCTTCTTTTCCTGATCGAGTGTGTGCGTTACTGTCCAGGGGAAGCATGGAGGTTTGGAAACCCCTCTTTAGCTCTGTGAAGATTCAGCATCATGTACCCTGCAGGCGGAAGAGACAGCAGCACCCTGAGCAGGCTCAGGCTGGAAGGAGCAGTCAGTCTGAGGGGCTCTGCCTTCCGCCCCCTTCAAAACTGCCTGGTGGTCCCACGTCACATGAAGGGGAGGAAGGCAGGGAAGGGCAGGCTGAGCCCCAGGATGGCAGTCAGACCTAAGGTGGGACCCCTTGTTTATGCTCAAGACCTGACCTCATGCCTCACTGTTATGACCCAGAGCAGGAATCTCGGATTTTTGAAGTGAACTTCCCTCCCTTGGAAATTTCAGAACCAGGACCTTCTAAAAATCTTGATCTGGTTCTAATTAGCGCTTCTCCAACTAACTGCGGTGAAGGATCAGTTTTGTATGCAAAATCTGCCACAGATCAGCACTTTCATAAAATACAATAAAATGAATTACTGGAAAAATGAAATCGAATATACAGATATAGAAAACACAAGGTCGAATTTTTTTATAATCAAATTCAGTGAACATAAAAGTGGTGTATCAGATTGGGATAAAAGTTTCTCAATGCTGCCTTTCAATTTCTATACTTATGATAGATACACAGAGGAAAATACTATATAAATATACACGTATAAATTAAACACCATCATAAGACATACACGCCCATACATATATACATATACATGGGCACGTACTCACACATGTGCACGTGTGTACACACCAACACACACTTAACAGTAAGGCAACACCATCCTTCCCTCTTCTGATTCTGCCTTGCCCATACCACTCCCTTTCCATATTTAGAAAGAGACTTTTCTACACTGTCTAGAGCTCATAATAAGGAAAGCATGACTGGCGAACAATGAAGTGGCAAGAAACGCAGAAAATCCAAAAATTCTGACTCCCAGCCCCCTTCCCTGCTACCTAGAAAGAGATCTAAAGCAGAGCTCCTTGCTACCTACCACACCCACACTATCCTACCCAAATATAGCTTTCCCCACAGCACCCAGACAGCCTTCCCACATCACACTCTGCCCATCACCTACCACTATTGTACCCACCCGGTGCTTCTGACCAAGGAAGATATACTGGAAATGAGAGGAAAACAACATCCTTCTACTCCTCTGTCTTTGCCCGGGTGTTGTGGGCAGGCTTCGCTTCCTCTGTCTGCACCTTAAATGATGGTGTTTCTCAGGTTCCTATTCTTAGCTCTCTTTTCCTCTAACACTGAACTCTCTTGAGTGACTTGATACAGTCCCATAGCTTCAACTGCCACTTATCTGCTCCCAAAAGCATCTCTCCGGCCCTGTCTCCCAAGTTTCAGGCACATATACTCATCTCAGCATCTTGCAGACATCATTAAAAAAAACACTCAGAACTGGGCTCAGATCTGCCTGGCTGCCAAACTTGCCCCTCCCCCTGCCATCTCTCAGCCTTGGTGAGGGGAAACATCAGAGACAGTCATTCAAAGTCTTAATCTAACAGACACCTATGTCTATGCATTCTTTTTCCATTTGCTAGCATCACCAGTAACTCCCCATCTATCCCGTGCTTGCATGCTAACTTGTTTCAGTCGTGTCTGACTCTTTACAACCCCAATGGACTATAGCCCTCCAGGTTCCTCTGTCCATGGGATTTCCCAGGCAAGAATACTGGAGTGCGTTGCCGTTTCCTTCTCCAGAATATCTTCCCCACCTAGGGATCAAACCCACATCTCTCTCTTATATCTCCTGCTTGGCAATTTGGTTTTTTACCACTAGCGCCACCTGACACCACCCAGGTAATCCCAGGTATTACCTTAAGAGGACGCACAAGTTCTTGGATTTTCTTTTTTCCAAATATCACTAAGTTTCTAACATGGGTCCAACAGACATTATGATTTTGGAGGCGGCTGTGATTTGAAGCTAAGCAAATACACCTAAGTGGTTGCAATCAAGGATTTATTGTCTAGCTACAGAGGGAAGAAAAAATAACACCTTTAGAACTCTATGGAACAATAACAGAATAGGGTCTTCCCTGGTGGTCCAGTGGTTATGACTCCACCTCCCAATGCAGGAGGTACAGGTTCAATCCCTGGTGGTGGAACCCTACATGCCGAGGGGTGGGGCCAAAAAGTTAAGAAAAAAAAAGCAGCAATAGAAGAGTATAATGAAACAAGTGGATTCTGTAACATTTCTCTCCCACTTCCCCCAGGGTTTCATTCATCCTAACCTATAGATTAGGTTCTCTGTTCTCTGTTAAATGCTAATATTCCTGATAACATGTCTCTGACATAGCATTAGGTCTGTAATTAGAGTCAGGCAACACCAGGAGAAATCAAACCACTGAATATATGTAAGAGTTGTGGTTCCAGAAGTTGGCAAGAGTGTGGAAGAAATGCAGAATAGAATGGATCCTTAAATAGATTAATTACATCCAAACAAGTAATGTAGCAGCTTGGGTAGGAGTTTCTGACTTCCGTGTGTAGGCTGAAGAATTAGATGGAGTGTAACTTGAATCCAGGGGCCATGGATCATGAACCTGGCCCATTCAGAGACTGATGACACAGAATACAGGGCCCATTGGGGGCAGTTGGGGCCCTGAGAAGAGCCACTCAAAAGCCTTGGGACCAAATCTCTGTTGGTTATATTCTCTGAGAACGGATTTCCAAAAAGTCAACTCGGAAAGGCACTCCCCAGATATTTAGGATGACATAATTATTTCCTGGTGGGTAAGTTTGCTTTACTATCCAGAAAATGGTAAGAATAGAAATAGTTACTCAAATCAAGTATATAGCATTAGTGTGTTTGTATTAAAGACTTCCTGTGTATTTTGTATTTTAGGTATTTACAGTGCTTAAGAGAATTTAGCCTATTACAGTAACAAATTGGTCTTGCTATTTTAAATGTGTAATTAGTTTATATGTGTGGTTTGAAATAGAATTTTCCTTTATTTTTTTCTTCAAGTTAAAAAAACAATTTTTATATTTATTTATTTATTTGGTTACATTGGGTCTTTAGTTGTGGCGTGCAGGATCTTTGTTCCAGTGTGAAGGCTCCTCTAGGTGTGCGAGCTCCAGAGAGCGCAGGCTCAGTAGTTGTGGCACACGGGCTTCTGCATTGGAAAGCGAATTCTTAACCACTGGTCCACCAGAGAAGTCCCCAATTTTCTTTTACTGAAGTAGTTGATTTACAATGTTGTGCTGATCTCCACTGTACAGCAAAGTAACTCCATTACATATATATATATATATATACACACACACACACACACACACATCCTTTTTATGTTTGGAATTTCCCTTTAAAACTAGTTTGGGGACATTTTAAAAACTTAGGAATTTAATCACTATATTCATAAATTGTCAGATTTCTAAGAATTTTTTTAGGTATTCAGGAATGTGTGGTTGGTTAGTTCAGGTAACCAAATTACATTGTAAGGACATGGAATATGTTAAACTTATAAAGTATACTTTTAAGTGTTTAAAGGAGTCATTAACTACATATATAAATGGTACCAAACAGTTCATCGAGTACAATCATTTAAAGTGATTATTACAATATACTTGTTTTCAAGTTGAACATAAAAACTTGAGAACTGAGCTTCTGATTTGCATCTTTAACGTGGGGAACACAAATTTCAAAAAGCCAAAGTAGCCCTCTACATGTTCTTTTCTGGCACAAAAAGGACATTTAAAAAATTCACACTGATACTGCAAGTCCATTTTCTGGACTGCTTGCATCTACGCAGTACAGAGCAGATTGGGTGATTAGATTTCCTGCTCTTCCCATGTTTGCTGGTTTTGCTAAGACTTTAGAAGGGAGAATGGCTCTGCTGATGCCATAGCAGAGGCCAGGCTCAAGGCACAGAGCTGGCAGGGACTGACTCCGAAATTGTCTCTCCTCAGCGCCTCCTTCCTCTCCATTGTACCACCCCCAGATGGGTCATTCTGCCTTCTGGAGGAACTGCGAAAGGGCAGCAGGGCCTCCCTGAGGCCGCTGCGGTGGTGGCAGACGAATTCAGCTAAACAGACTCCAAGAAAAAGTAAAACTCAGAGACTAGATAGCTGAGTCTCCATCCTCAATAGGGACTCTTCCTCCCTGGCCAAATTTGGAATTTTGAGACTACATATTTCCAAGTAAGATGGCTCTTTAAAAACAACAGATTGTTAAGCAACTGTTTCCTTCAATAAATCAGGCTGCTTGCCTGGAAATGTGTGTGTGTGTGTGTGTAAACACATGTGTTCATGGTGAGGAGGAGAAGTTATGTTAGTGGGATTAGGAGTGCTGTATTCCATCAGTTATAGATTCTCTGGGGACCAGAATGCCTCGTGTGGAGTACAAATATTTTTTAGTAGAAATAAAAAACAAGATAATGTTGGGACTTCCCTGGTGGTCCAGTGGTTAAGAATTCACCT